GCTCGTTTAGAAAGCTAGTCTGTCTGTCTGCCATGTCTGTCTATCAGTCAGTCAGCCAGGCTATTTGGGCCAGCTAAAAGTTCAAATTCCATAAACAAACAGCATACGCACGCATTGCTAGCTGAACTTATAGATATATAGATACATTTCGATTGTATGGCACTGGCAGCTGCACCTGTCATTGCTGAACTAAACGATAAACAGACTAGGACCCGCGGCAACGGATCCGCTGCACAATGGATGGAAATTGATGTTTGGCAACCAGAAGTTCTGTAACCTTTTGAACTGTGCCACTGATTGTGAAATAATACTTTAATGGCCTGATTTATTATGACATTGTGCGTGGCACGTACACATCGAGAACTTTTGCCTAATGCCTTTCGACAGTTGGCTCTTAAATTCAGTTTACAGCAAGCACTCTCGAGATTTGTGTAAATATTTTATTATATATTATAACGTGGCACTAAAATCGACGAATATATAAATACAAGTAACCTTTTCCTTTTTCAGGCATGTTTATCCTTTGCAAACTTTGTTTAAATATGGAATGTGAATTCATAGAACGCATATAATTTCGTGTTGTTCACAGATTTCCATTAAATTATATTGAATTATCAATACATACTGTATTGATAATAATTTTAGGAAGATCTGATAGCTAAATCCAGCAGCTAGTCTATCTTTGGCCAATCGGTCGGTAGTGTAATATATGCATATTCATACACTTACCAGAGTTCCGAATAGAGCCTATTACCAATTAATATGGTGACCAACAATTTTGTTGTATATTTCAGTTTTCACAGCCACAGTGCATTGTCAGGGCAAATGTTGTGGAAAAGAGTATGTTCGGTCTGTGAAGCAGGAAAATGATTTTATTTCGTTTGTCGTTTGCGTTGCACATAATTCCATAAAATGACAGAAACATGTGTACAAATTTGTTTCTATGGCGCCAGAGCGTCAAAGAGTTGCATTTCCCACCCCTCCATTCACGCTGTGGAACTATGAAGTTGCCGTTGGCCATAAACAAATTCCAATACAATCCAGGCTAAGCTGTTTGCCTGAGGCTGGCGCTGAACTTGCACTTGAGTGGGTCGCTTTGCAGTTGCCTGCACTTTCATTTGGTTACCAACGTCAGTCGAGTCTTGAGTATACCGAAACTAAGCTCAATTTACAGTATGGCAAGCATTTGATTGTTGGCAGATGTGTTTATTTGATTTTAAATATAGCTCTTAAATATTTCTGGCTATTCATCGGACGACATTTGGCCGATACGGCTGTGGGCCGTAACTCAAGTGGCTGCCGTTTTATAAGGTATTATGAGTTTTCTGAAGTTGATTTGCGTTTTTCCTTCTTTTCTTCTCGTATACTTATTGTTAAGCGGCTTAAACGCCTTCTCATTGCAGCGCCTGACAGTTAACAAATGATTACAAACAGTGCGACAAATTGTTAAAAATAAATTATAATTCTATTATTATTTAAATGCTAAGCGGAAACTATGAACAGCTGGTCCAAACACCGAGTGCAGCTTTAAAGCGGAACGACAGGGCAATAATTTAGACCCAAAAAACCTAAGCGCTGCGCACTTTTTCACTGCAGCATCAGTGCCGGGCATGGTGTGTGTGAATGTGTGTGTGTGTGTGTGTGTGTGTGTGTGTGTGTCGCCTGAAACTACAAAAGACCGCATTGTGTGTGATTTATACACCTTAAGCTTCGATGAACGCTATAACACCAACAGCAGCAGCGACGACGACGTCGACGACAACGGCGACGGCGACGGCGACTGCGGCGTCGGTACTTGGTTCTCTATTTTTTTTCCCTTCATTTATATGGCAAGTTGGCGCATAGCCACCAGACAAAGCGGCAGACGACAACGACGTTTGGCGGCAATGAAGCCATAGCCATGAAATGGAAATGCATTCGAGTGTGTTTAAGCCGGCGTTGTTATGCTGCCACGGCCTCAGCCTCAGTTGGAACCTTAGCCAGAGTCTCAGCCGCCGCTGTCATGGACCATATACGTATGCGACTAGAGATAAGACGTGCTCGATAGAGTCCAAAGAAAAAGCGAACTCATTTTACGCCTGCATTTCCCTTTCGTGTATGTGTGTGCGTGCGCTGGTGTGTGTGTGCGTGTGTAGTCAGTTGACGTTAACAAGCAAAAGCGTACGATAGAATTGAAAAAAATTGTAGGAAGAAGTTTATCAAGTCAATTGAGACCTGCGACAAAAGACCAAAGCGCAGCAGCAGCAGCAACAACAATTTGGTCGTAAGCAGCAGAATGAGCTCTGGATGCGATGTCTGAATCATCAGCGTTTGGCAGCTTTGTCGTCGGTGTCTTTATCAGGAGGCCCGCAGCAGCAGCAGCTGCAGCAGCCGCTGTGGAAGAGACAGCTGCAGCATCAACGACAATGGCATCATCATATAAAAGGCAACGTGTATATTTTTTTATATTGCAGCTCATAGCGACAGTGAGGCCATCGTTGTAGGTACGAGAGAGATCCGAGAGGAATCTAATTTGCATGCAATACGATTTTTGATAAAAGCTTTTACCCGAACATCAAATAAAACGACAATGCAACAACAATCCAAGTCTGATTGTGCGACTCAGTCGCTGTGTTACACTTTGGTATTCATAAGAAAAACAGCCAGAGACAGATAAGAGCAGCCAAAGGCAATCAAAAAGTGCATTTGCGTGTGCCGTTTGCTGTCGCCTCGAGCTGAGCACTCGAGTGTCTTCTTCTCATACTAGACGTCTTTAACTTGGTCTCCAACTCCTGCTACCCGCTTGCCGAGTATTGCAACTGGCATCGGATGCTCTTTCAGGTAAATGCCAACTGGTTACTAGTTGCCATTGCAGTTACTGCTGACACTGATACTACGGCTGCTGCTGCTGCAAGTGCAAGTCACAATTTGACACATGATCCATGACAGTGTCGTGTCTGACACGCGTTTTATCTATGTGCTGGCATTGTTGGGGGCGGCGTAAGGGAGGGGCCGTGGGCGTGCACATGATGTGCATGCATGCGTTTTCTAAATGATTTCTAAAGAATTTTTATTGGGAAAAACGACAAAAGCGAAAACGCATGCAACAACAACAACAACAGAAGAGTTGACATCGAGCTGCTTTGGAACTTTATTGACGTCTTCAAATTGTCAACTCGAAGTTCGAAGTGTTTTATTTTATGCTTTGTTTCTCATATTTTCGATGCCCTTTGTCGCCGGGGCGTTGTTTTATCGCACATCTGTAAAAGGGCTGAAACCATGACGATGGCGCACATGGGTCTATATGTCTATGATGATGACTTTTTATTATGCGCATTTCGGTTTTTATGCTTCGGTTCCGGCATGTTTTGTACACATATCTAAATATCGTACTTAAACGTTTACATATGTGAGTGCGTACGGACATTTCGAGGGGGAATAGGCTGGACGCGAGGATGATCTGAGTAGCATGGCCAAGTTAGCTTAAGCAGGCTGGAATTTGTTTTTTTTTTTTTTATTATTTGTTAGTATTGGGGCCACTCGCTGCGGTGGGGAATTTAATGATGTGCGGCTTTTATGAGCAAGCAATGCTTCTTTCACCACTTGACTGTATTTTGCAATGTAGTTGATAATGGTTCGATGTCCATTAAATCAGTCAACATTTCGTCAATATCCACATTATGGCCAGTGTACGTAGAAAGTTACGGGCTGGCATGGGTGTTAAAAACAGTTTAAAAACAATTGAAATTTGGAAATAAGCAATCAAAAGTTGCGCAGTTAAATCCAAACGATGGCTTACAAACAAATGAATACTATTCACATAATAAATTGTTTATTAAATTATTCGAATTAAGATATATATTAGTAGACTGTGACATGCCTCCGTGATGTCCAATGAAATGAGCCAAGCTCTCCCCTTGTTCATATTTTTTTTATTTCTTTAAGCCATATATGCGATATCCACTCTCCAGGTATGGTCGTAGTAAAAGCATCCCAGCATCGCACATTTGCTTGGGATTTTCAGTCTGAATATTGACATAATGTTACGGGGCCAAACTTTAAACTTGCCAATAATAACGGAAACGATACTGCCAAACTTCATGCGCACCTTTTTGAGCGCATGGAAATTGCACAGCTTTTCAAAACGGCCGCCAAGCTCATAACGAGCAATATCTTTTTATTGGTTTTGCATGTGCCAGAAACCCCTTAGGCAACTCAAAATAAATTTACATTTTTATTAAAATTTTTCAAACGAAACTACGTCCAAGCACACACACACACACATGCACACAAATACATGGAAAGTAGAAACGTTTAAAGCGTGCGTCTGTCAAAATTGAATATAGTCCTGATTAAGTTATTTTATTGATTAGTAGAAATGCAATGCAAAAGCACAAATATCAGTCACTTTAGTTACACTCATTAATTAATTCGAATGATATAACGATCGTTGGCTTTTATAATGATTGTGTGCTTGGCACAAGTTTCAGTTTTCATTTAATATTTAATGATGGTTCGTTTTGAAGCAAATGGATGGTGCTGGAGTAGAATTAGGGAATTCGAAGTTCACATAATTTTTAATTTAATTGGCGGCACTGAAATATTCAAAATGTTGTTAATATATAGACAGTTGCTTGGCCAATGACGCGGGCAGGCAACAAAGACGACACCGAGTCAGCTGCTACTTTCCGCACGCTTTGAATTCATTTTCAATTTTGCAATAAATCTACATAGATGTATAATAAATATCCATTTGCCGTTGCCTTTGCAACAAAACAACCACCCAGCCCGCCAAAAGCAGGGCTCCAGGGTGTTCAAACTGAAAGCAAAGCATGGGTTCATACTGGTGTGCGCCGGCTAAAACATGTGTTTATGGCTGCCACAGCTATAGCTTATGTGTACAGTTCATATTAGCTGTGTGCGCGTGTGTGTGGGTGTGTGTGGATGTGTGTGCGTGTGCCTTTGTTTACATATTATGTACATATTTTTTTGGCCTCTTGTTTTGCACGCCGCTGATAAGCGCTGCCTCCGCTGCCTCCGCTCGGTAGCTGAGTCGCTCGGTCGCGCGCTTATCAAAAGTTGCCCAAGCGCCCAAGCTGTTTACTTGAGCAACAATCTGTCGCCCAGCTTCGGTTTCCGCAACAGTCTGTGTCTTGTGGCCGCTTAAAGCGCATAAGACCTTAACGCGACTTTAATACATCATCAGCGGGCTGCTGGCTGCTGGCGGCGGCTGTTTTTGAATTTCAAATTCAAAATGCGGCGCACATTTCGATTGATTTTCTTCTTCTACTACTATTGCTGCTGTTGCTGTTGGCTCGTCATCTTGTTGCCAACTTTCTGCCACACACGTAAGCCAGCCATTGATTATGGCTAACACAGACACATACACAGTTATACTTAGATATTTTTCTATCTATATCTACCGGCAGAACCCAGCTGCCAGACACCCGACAAAAACGTTGGCCAATGTGTGCACTTTAGCGCTTGCCGTTTTGTACTGCGCCAATATGCCATGTACAAGGAACACATGCCGCCTCACATAATGCGCTTTCTGCAAAGATCACGCTGCAGGCCCAAAGTTGATGGCGTAAGTTGCAGGAGCCATTAGCCAGACAGTCGCATACGCTTTATACGTGGTATAAAACTGTCTGGCAACAATAACAATCTTATGATGCCAATACTAATGAAATTTTTTTACATACATATATATGTTGTACATCGACAACATCAACAACAAACAACAATCGACCACAAACGACAACAAAGTATCATTTGTGCTGCGAACTAAAAGATGTGATTCCTGCGAATGCCAACTCAAAGCTGAAATGAATCTGAATCTGGCCAGAGCAACTTCAAAGCACATCTGTGTATAATATATGACTTAAATATGTATCTGATTGTGTGTGTGTGTGTGAGCGCGCGTGCTTTGATCTGCATAATTTTCACTGTCTGATGGTTTAAAGCACGACCAAAAAAAGTTTACGTGGATGCCACATCGTATGTAATTATAATGTGAACTCATTTCTATGTACTTAGTGCCTCGCCATCTCGTCCACAGCCAACAGCTGTCAGGGCAACAAAATTTGAATATGAATGTGATATTTTTCACTTTCCAGCAATCAAAAATAAAAACGAAACAAAATAAATAAATAAAAGTTTATTAAAAACTTAACATTTTAACAAGCCCTGACAGTTGCTTCAAAAATATTACGAATGGAAATTAAAAAAAAAAAATAATAATTTTTATTTATGCCTTTTCTACATAAACACAGAAATGCTTTTTACCTAGAATTTCTCTATAAAAACGTTGTGTTATATTTAAATACATATTCATTTGTTGATTTTAATTCAAATTACCTCTTTTTATTTATAGAATTTATTTTAATTGCATTTATTTTAATTTAAAATTCGCTTTAAAACGTTATAGTTGCTGTTCATGTGTCAGAAATTCATGGATTAACCCTCGTCTTGCTGTCGCCTGTTGTCTTTTTAATGTGCCAGATTTTAAGTGACATTCGGGGGCCGCTAAATGGCCGTCTAAAAATCACGCAACATTAAAATGATTTATGCTGAATAATTTCAGTGTAAATGAAGCAAAAGCCAAGCTGGCCAGTAGCGTGCTGCCTGCTGCCTGCAACATTAGCGGTTAGTCCAGGTTTCAGTTCCATACCGTGGGGGTCTCATCGTCTCTGTTGCTTCTGAGTCTGGGGCGTTGAAATGCAGACACCTTGTGCGCGCACGTCGCTCGAATTTCATGCTTAGGATGTGGCAAAGGCAGTGGCAGAGGCAGAGGTAGAGTCAGAGGCAGAAACGGCGCGCGCCGCTGTTGTTGCAGCAACACGAACGACGCCCAGTCGCTGAAATTGCAGACAGCGTCCAGATGATAAATGGCCTAAAAGCACATTTGAGTCTCTGCTGCTGCTGCTGCTGTTGCTGCGGCTGCGGCGGCTGCTGCTGCTGCTGATGCTGATCTATTAGACAAACGCACGCCCAAGGCGGCTGCTAACACACATATCTTTTGCATGGAATGAACTGGGTTTGGCTATTTATGGAAAGTTTACCAAGAGATAAAGTTGAACAACATGCCAGCTAAATACAAAAACAACGGCAAATCTTTTGATTATTTTTGTCGCCTTTTAACTAAGTAAGGCAAAAATAAAGAAAAAAAAACTATAAAAAATTTCAAATTTAAAACCACAAATGAAAAAATGTTGCTGTCAGAAATTAAATGGAAAGCAGCTTCTAAAAGCGTGCACTCTAAAAAGTTGCTGATGTCTTGTAAACATGTTTAGTCTAATGCATGGCCGGGTCTGAGCATATTGTTGCTGTTCAAGCTGTTGTTGGAGCTGTTGGTGCGGTGCAACAAATGTTGTTAACAAGCATATTTTGACAGCTCAACAAGATGTTGCCAGATGCGCGAACAGCAACAGCAACAGCAACAACAACAATGGGGCCATTTGCATATGTTGCAAGCCAGCAATGCAGAACTAAAGTAAACCAAAACGACCAACTAAGCCAGAGCCTGCATTTGTAGTTGCACTCGCCGTCGCTGCCGCTGTCGCAGTCGGTATCTGTGAGTTTTATCTGTTTGGGGGACTGTGGCCAGCAGCATGGCTATAGCCATGGCAATTGGATCGCTAGTGAGGCGCAGAGTTAATTACTTTCAGATGTGTTGTTGGTGCTGTCATTAAATGCTGTTGTTGCTGGCAAATGCTGCTGCCGCAGCAGCTGTCTCATAAACATGACAGCAACAAAGTGCTCGGCCGACCTCTGCATTGTTTTTAAAAGTATTTCATGCATTTTAATAAACATTCGTGCGCATTTAATGAAATGGAGAGTGTGCGCGCCCAATGTGCAAGCGGTGTGTGGTCTTTGCTGTGGTTCCATTCATGTATTTCACCAACATCATGAGCATCTACTGGCCACATCTATTTTCTAATTGCATTTCGCTGTTCCACAGCTGCCACTGTCTGTATGTGTGTGTGTGTGTGTGTGTATGCATGAGTGTAGTTATGTGGTCACACACCTTTTGTGCACACCGTTAGCTCTTGTGCATTGCACTGTGGCTTCGTGGCGCCATCTCTGTTGCATTGCTCATCGTGGTAGGTACTCCATGTGTGCATATCTCTTCCCTTGTCTATTCTGCAACACACACACACATACACATACATTGCCGTACACCCATCACTTGGTGTTAATTTCGCTCGTCTTGTGTCAGTGCCAGCTGACAACCCGAATGTCGTCGTCTATCACACGGCTAAGAAATGCAATTAACGTGCGCTATCGCAATTGCCATGCCAAAGAAATTTGACTGTAAAATGAGAGGCTGTCATGGCAGACTAAGCATCCAGCTGGCAAATTAACGTATTTGGTTTTGATACCCTGAACCCATTGAAAATGGCAAAAATGAGAATAATGGAATTGAAGGAACCCATCTATTCTTTGGTCAGCAGTCATAGACCAGTCGATCTCGCCATGTCCGTCTATCTGTCTGTCTGTCTGTCCGTCCGTTTGTTCAAACGCGTCGATCTCAGAGTCGATCAGATATATATTCTCCTAGTGCCCGCAATGTGCCGGTTTATTTCAAATCATTGGAAAGCTTTCCCATTTCAAGTAAATCTATAAGAATCGAGATCGAAATATTGTACACAATACTTGTGCTTGCAGCTCGGCACGGAGTTCATTTCGATGTTGAAAAAATAATTTTAAATACAATTCTGTTACAATTTATATATTTTAATATGAAGGAGCTTCTACCAAAGTACTTTGTTGTTAAATTATATGTGCATACGTCAGAATCAGATCCTTATATTTTGGCAATTATAAGTATTGGTCGATATTATATTTTACTTTTCATAATAACTTGACTAAGCCTTCTAGTTATCAATTACCTATCAATATTGGAATACTATCCTTAATCTGGGAACCTTTTTGGTTCCAATAATTTATACATCTGATATTTGTCAGAAAATTTCAAAATTCCATACATACCACATCTACAATATTTGTTTGTCTAACTAAAAATGTATTTTTGTTATTAAATGCGGTTCCTCCGTGAGAAAATGTTCAACCGAATTCAAATTCAATTCCGGTGGTGCATTTCAGCTTTTGCCTTTGTCTTTAACTTGAAAACGCATAATTTCCCTTGCATTGATTGACTTTTGGGGCCAGTTGCATTTAGATTTCTTGCTGGGGTTGTGGGAATCATCTGGGTTAATTAGCCTGGGGAGCTTAGAGGAAATGCAGAACAGCCAAAACTTGGGCATTTGCCTGTCAATCAGAGGGATGGTCATAACGTTGCTGTTACCGAACGAACTAAAACCACAAATTCAATAAAATTTGAAAAGCAATTAATAACTGATTGACAAGTATTTATCTGAAAGGAAATGGGCAAGTAAGCAGAAAGACAAAACTGCAAAACGCTGTTGAGCTTCAACGGGCTGCATTGGCAACCCGAAACCCGAAACCCGACCGTAAAGCGTGAAGCTTTGGGCACAACTGGAACCGGGGAACGGAGCTGTAACAACAGCAATGCTGGATGAGGTGGAGGCCAAAGCGCCGGCTGCCCATGGGATGCGGCGGAAATTCAAAACCCAAAGTCAAATGGAACGCAGCAATATAACGCAGCGAATTGACAGAGACGAGATAAAAGAACAATCAACAATATGCCAACAACAACAACAACAACAACAACAACAACAACAACAATAACAAGAGCAACAGCAACGGCAACAAGAATAAACAACAAGAGCATCCGGGGCCAGCCGGGTAGAAGATGTAGCATAAAATGTAGCGAAAACTTTGGAGAAATCATTAATAACGCTGGGAAAGCGCAATGGCATTGGCTTGCGAAAGGACAAGCGCAAGGACATGCAGCGGCAGCAGCAGCAGCAGCAGCAGCAGCAGCAGCAGCAGCAGCAGCGGCAGCATCAGCGTCGAGCTCAGCTCAGCGAAGCTCCGTCAATCAAAGCGCAAACAGAAACAAAATGAATGGGCAAACAGTGTGGAAAAGAGGATGGCAATGTCCAGCGCTACCCGTGGCCATATCCAGCGGATGCCCATTGAAAAGGGGTCAGTAGTCAGGCTGCCTAAGCGACTGTTTAGCTGCTTGTTTGGCTGTGGCCGGACGGGCCAGTTCGAGACAGGACAGAACAGAATAGAATGAACGAAGCTGGCCAGGACAGGCCAGACGAGTCTCATGCGAATGCGAATGCGAATGACGATGCTGATGACCATGATGATGTTGTTGATGATGATGATGACGATGACAACGGCCCAGCGAATGAGCAACGAGGCTGACGACAACTACGACGGCGACGATGATGATGAGACATTGAGCGAACGATGTGGAACGGATGTGCAGTTGTTGTGGTCGGGCTGTGACTGTCGCTGTGGCTAAGGCTATAGCTGTAGCTGGGCGGGCTGAACTGCTGGCAAAGAAAAGCACAATTATTCATTTGCACAATGTCAGAAAAGTGTCAGGCCGGCGCCAAAGGACCAAAGGATTCTACTATGGCGCTTTCGCTGCGGGCAGAAGCGACAGCAGCAGCAGCAGCAGAAGCAGAAGCAGCAACGCCGGCGCCAGCTTGAAACAAAAGCGATAATGATGAGGACGACACTTTGCCAGAGTTTTGATCATAAGCAATGCAAAAGGCAAGAGATAAGAATGGCAAGAGGAATAAGGATTGGGATAAATATAAGTGGAAGTAGAAGGCCAAGGCACCTGCTAAGATGGATAACTCAACACTTGGCTATGACTTTTGCCCTTTTGTTGGCAGCTCCAAAGCAGCTCAACGGCATTCACATAATTAAGTGAACTGTAACTCGAACTTGTCGTCCTGTGGGAGCATCGGAAATTTAAACGGCCCAGCGAGGGGTTGTGCTACACCAAAATGCATTAAAATTAATGCATTAGCAAGTGCAACATTGTTATCAGCATGCACACATGAGCACACACAGGCTGCCGCACAGCGCCAGCGCCAGCGCCAGCGGCGTTCGGTGTGGGTTAAGGGGGTGTGCAGATGGAAACAACGCCTCCGACTTTCCCGTGGTCGCACACGAGCGAACAGGCCATGCATAAGCCCAATCCCTATACCAATTCAAATTCTAGAAGCAACACCAGCGTCAGCGTCAGCGTCAGCTCTTACTCCAGCTAAAGCCTGGGCTAAAACAGGAGCCGTATTCACAATCAGGCTAACATATACA